TCTCCAAACATGAGGGCCTCGATATGGACAGATGATCCAAACGCGCCATCAACCTCAAGCTCGCAGCCACGCTTTCCTTCTCAAGCTGCGCCAAACCACTCCAATTCCCGTGTGAGGTGTGCTCTTGATCCCGAGCTATATAAATTTTTATTTTATTATCCAAGTTCTTGCTTATTTATTTTCTGATGTTTACGTATTTCATTTAGACATTTATTAATGTCGCTAAACTATTTAAAGTTTTGAATTTTCGGTACTGAAGTTCAATTGAGTGTCTTCTAGCCTGTAATTTGTTTATTATTTTTGTCAATACAGCTGTTTGTGAAATTTCTATGACAAATTCATGTAATTTATTTTTATTTGATTATTTTTTTTAGCAGTTTGTTTTGTTCACTTGTTTACAGTTTTAGCTAGTTTCACAAGGTGGTGATTTAATGAGTGCTTTTATTATTTCAAACTAACCATAAATCCCTTCTTTACAAAGTGACTTAAGCTGCTGTGTGATTTCCACATTATCTATTTTGATTTGCTAGTTTAGCTTATATTCTCTCCTACGTGTCTTTCTGCCACTTTAGTCTGTATAGAGAATTTTTACTGGTTGTATAGTTTTGTATTACAAGATTCATATCTGGGCCTGTGCCGAGGTTAATTTTGATGATGGCAGGTAGCATTTTCTTATTTCTTCTCATTTGTTGTTCTGTGGCCTAGATAGAACTGTAGCTAATTTAGTTTTGTTTTATGAATTGGGTTGTGGTAGCAATGTGTTCAGACTATTGTCGCGAAGAGAGGTTTGTCCTCGAACAAAGCATTTGTCCAAAAGACGATGGAGAGAAGCTTCAAAGCAGTGTTCTAGTTCCTTGGAGTCAAGGTTTGAAAAGGAGCAAGATGCAAGACGAGGTCTTGTCTCATGGTAAATGATGGGTTTTATTGTTTTGCTTATGTTGTCTTGATGCTTGGTAGGAAATGTTAGCAATAGTACTCAGTATTNTTGAAACAACTTTTTGACATACTCTTCCACATGCTATAACCTCACACCATCATCACATTTAAAGGAAAAAGGATACTAAACAACCTTTATCACATGCTTCCCAATCAACCATATTATACAAATTAATTACGTAAATTATCCTAATTAAAGATAATATAAAATTTTAATTAATGGTTAAAATCAGTTCAGTTCAGTAGGTAGTAGAATATTCTCTTAAACTTCTATTTTACATATTTTTTCTCCCACCGACACGTGTAACTCTCCTATTCACCACATAAAGAAAATTTGGAATTTCTAATTTATGTTTTGGAAAACATAACATAATGTTTTTTGAAAAGTGTTTTTGGTGTTGCCTTGCTCTTTTTTTCCCACTCTTTATGGAAGGTTCCCATTTGTTTCACAGAAGCAGCAATGTAGAAATTGATGGTATGGTGTGTGATGACATGTGGAATCATGATGTGGATAGTGTGCCGACATCATGAATTTGCACGTCTTCATTAAAGGTTGTACGTATGCACGTGCGCACTAAAGCGTTTGTAAATGCAAGGTCGTGCAGTCTCTTCTGGCTTGCGGCCCTCTACATTGCAAAAAAGCCTGACACCCCAATTTTATCATCGCTTTTTATTTCTTTCAAGAGTAAACGATATTTTCTCCACCCAAGGTTTGGCGAATCTACCAGTTCCCACCCCTCATTTCATAAATTGCAATTCTCACCCTTAAATTAAGAAAACTGTTTAATTTAACAGTTAAAAGGGTAAAATAATCATTTAAAAAAATTCAAAATAACCCTTGACTTCTCAAATTCACCCCATCAACGATTTCAGGCTATTCTAGCATGTCCGCGACGCAGTCAACCTCTTTTGACACCACCGTTACAATCCCCTCAACCCCCATATCAAAACCCCTAACCTCCCTGCCTGATTGAACCACCAATTGCCGACCACCGCTCTTAGCTTCAGTCGATGTTTTATCCAAATTTCGGCAGGTCACGGCACTGGAAACCACCCCTAACACCACTAATAGCATCACCGACTTTCCCCATCAAAACCCCCAACATCGTCAACCGCAATTGCCAACTGATCACCACCGCCTCCCCCTTAGGTTTTCGCATTTTTTTGCACCTTTCTAGCCAAATTCTGACACCTCGCTGAGGTGCTAATGGGTGGAAAAGTTACGGGTTTTGGTAAGGAGGATAAGGGGATGCTGATGGTGGTGTTGAGGAGGTCCAATGGTATTAGAATTATATCAGATTGTTGGCTTGGCTAGGATTCTTTGGGGGTTATTTGAGAGAAATTTGAGATATAAGAATTATTTGAAGAGAAAAGTATCAGTGTTAATTTTAGGGTGAGAACTATAATTTATGAAATCAGGGGTGGAAACGTAGCTCCGCCAAACCTTGGGTGCGGAAATGTGCTTACTCTATCTTTCAATAAATGCATTTCTGTTTCTTCTCTTACTTTGAAATTTTTAATGTATAATAAATTCAGTCAACCAACTCACAATTCACTTATATAATATTATAATCGACTGAATAATTAATAAATTTTCTTATAATGATGAAAAGATTTAAAAAAAAAAAAAGGGGGTAATATGTATGGTTGTTTGACTATCGCCCGGTGATAAAGAGTTTGAGTTTATGAGTTTACGAGATTATTAGGTCTATTTCTCAAGAGATTATGTGTTCGAGTTTTCTCGAGTATTAATAAGAATAACCATTAATACTTTTATTCGATCGATAGTTTCAAGTAGAGGTGTCAGTTTAGTCGAGCCACTCGTGGTTTGGTAAAAGCTTAAGCTTGGCTAGGCTAAAGTGCCTAGCCGAGTTTGAGCTATTTCGGTTTGACTCGAGCTCGAGTTTAAAAAGCTTGATTGAAAAAGCGAAAAAATGAAGAATTAGGGAGTTTTTTTGGGTGAGCTCTTAAACTTTCAGTCTCCAGCTCAAATTTTCAAACTCGATATTGAAGTGAACGAGCCAAGCTCAATTAGCCCTAAACTCGATTAGGTTCAACTCGTTTACATTGAAAGATTAGTTAAAGTGCAGAAAAAACATAAATATATATGTATGGCTTGGATTCGCACAAGGTACCATTTTGTCTGCAGAAAAAACATAAATTTGAATGAATGAAATCATAGTCAATGGTGCAATGAATGAAGGAGGTACTATTACCATGTAGCATTCAAAGCAACACAAACTAAAAGATACCTAGAGAAGGTAGAGAATGATTCAATGAATGGCAGGAATGCAATTAAGATAGAAAACAGATGGTAAAAAGTTAACATAAGTGGAGAGAAAAGTAAAAGGCGAATAAGAAAGTGGCCTGTGGCTGTGGAGTGGAGCGTTATGATTTGCAGCAACCCAGAAACCACAAAGTTGGCGCTGAGAATGTTCGAGGAAATGCATCAACCACAAAAAACGACAATGAATAAAACTAAAAATGGGAAATTGCAGAATACAAAAGGGTGAGAGAATACACCTAATAAGGACACATACACACACAAATATCAAGTTAAGCGTGTTTCGCAGGTTCATAGTCGTATCGTTTGTCAATAATTGGTAGGTCCACTCTTAACTCTTTCTTTCTTGTTTTGTAATGTGGGACTTCACTGCCTTCTACTTAAATCATCATTCCAACTGTTTTAGTCATTACATTATTACAACTAGTAGTTTTCTTTTTTGTTTAGCTTAATGCTTTTTACTTTATTTCTATTTTATTATCAAATTGGTAATCTTATTATATACAATGACTAATAACCATCAATTCGTTATTTATAAGAAAGAAAAGTAATGCCTTTCTTTTAAAACTATTTGGTTATCATGCAAATAATTAATGTATCAATTTAAGTTAAATATTTTGAGTTACTATAGTCCTATTCATAGGGTAACCTTTACATAAGAGTTTTTCCCACCCAAAATAATAGCTTGATGACACTTTCACACCAATATATTTTTAAAATACCACTTTATTATTCAAATTTATATTCCGATGACGAACAAAGAGCAAACTTAGTCAAAACTGTTAAAATTTTTGAAGAGATGAGGTCGATGAGTCTTTTAGTGGTTGAGATTGATCGACATTTGACTTAAGAGAGGTGATTGTATAAATCCTAATCACTCGATTGTCGATGATTAACCGGGTTGATACGAGTAGGGTTTGAGAGATTTTGGTAAGTGATGATTGAAAAGGAGAATTGTGGTGGTGTGAGATTATAACGATGTCAGAATCGAAAATATAATTACATTTAAATAATAAAATGATTTTTTAAAAGTTTGTGAATAAGAAAGTGTTATTAAAATATTATTCGAGTAAAAAAATATTATTCACTATTTAATTTATAATAATAATAGCTATCTTTTGGACACATAATGAGAATGAAAATAATTTGACGTGACATTAACATAAAAAGATAATGTTTCACCAAATATAGCAGCATAGACGTGAAGAGAAACAAACCGGTGAAGGCGGTGATGATTTATGAAATCCTTTCCCATTTCAGAGGCGGAAAAGAGATAATAAATGAAATGTAATATCAAGTTGGTGCGATTAGGTGCGCATCAAATGTTTAGTTATGCTTATTCATAATTTTATTATCTTATTATCTTTTATTAAAATTATATATGATACTTATATTATACTCATGGTTTTACTATCTTATTATCTTTTATTAAAATTATATATGATACTTATATTATACAAATGATATTCATACTATATTTTTTATTTATATAGAATAATAAGATAGATTAATAAAACTGTAAATAAACATAATATTATTGAAATGAGATTAGAGTAGGTGAGTGAGAGAGAAAGAGAGGGTTGGTGTGGCCAGATCACAGAATCTTCCAGATCATTTAATTTTTGTCCATCTCATTCTCTCTGATTTTCAAACCAGGGACAAACAGTTAAACTCTGAATACGACTCTTCAGACCTGTCCACATCTAATTGGTTACATATCACACTACACCACCACTACTAATCTCAATTAATTAATTAAATTATTACCAAACTCATACACTACAAATTAAAACATAAAAACTTTGTATAACAACACATAAGAAATTATTATCAAAATACATAAACCGCAAAGTACCATTACTAAACTAGATTAAGAGCATTAACCCAAAATTTCCCCCATTATTTACAATTTTCGTTTTTCAAATCTCTTCTTCCTATAACATCACATCAATGAACAAGCATTCGGGTTTTCATCGCTAAACATCTGGGGAGCATGAGGAGGCATTTGTCCGACCGGGACCGGATACGGGTACCCGTATTCGTGTCCACTCACAGGGTATCCACTCAACGGATACGGGTATCCATAGCCCAGCCCGGGTAAACCCACCATGTGCTCCATTCTGTTGCCTTCCATTCTCCCACCGCCTCCTCCTCCTCCTCCATTCTCAGCATCATCTTCTCCGCCCTCATCACCACCGCCACCTTTCTTCTTCTTCTTACCACCACCACCACCACCACTCCCACTATTGTCGCCACCGTTGGATTCTTTCTCCTCCTTTTCTTTCTTAGGTGGCACGATCTCAACGGGCCTCTTCAGTCTCTCCTTCAGAGTCTCAGCCAACGCTTTAGCGTCCATTGTTCCTTTAACAGTCACCAGGTCTTTCTGCCTGTCCACTGCCATATCCAGCACTCCTGTAATTAAGTAATCAACGTTAAATTATATACATGGCCAACATAATACGGAGACATTTAATACGGCGCCGTAACAGCAACGGTACGGAACATGAGTAGCAATGATCATTCACTCAAACTCACCTTTGGTTTTTAGCACAATCTTGTTAATCTTCTCGATGCAACCCTGGCAGTGAAGGGCCAGCTTCAAAACCGCCGTCGTCACCGGAGGCTGTTACCGTATAGTAGAATTAAATTAAATTAAGTTAATTAACTAATACAACAAAAACAAACAGTTAGATTAAAATAATACATTAAACAATCATTTACTAACAGATGCAGAGTAGTTACTTAAAAAATCATAAAAATAAAATAAATTTATATAAAAATAGAGAAATCAAAATAGAAAATAGAAAGAAAAAAAATGATTAGCAAAAGAAAGAACAGACCTCTTTGGGTTTTTTGTCATCAGAGGGTTTGTCTTTGGATTGGTTGTCTGGTTTCGGGGCATTTTCTTTGTCTTTGTCTTTCTTGGGTTGGGGAGAGATGAGGTCGACCTTCTTCTTGATTTTTTGCTCCAGTTTGTCTCGGATCTTCGATGGATCCACTGCTCCAACTACCGTCAGTTTGTTTGACCCCATATCTGCTTTCGCTGACTCCACACCTTCACCAAACCGAACAATATTACTTCAATGAACGTCATATAATCATTCAAGAAACCACCCTTAAATCTAAGTAAATAAGGGCAAATTGGATATACTTCCAGAAACGAAACAGTCAAAGAATGGTAAAAAAACGAGTGAATGGATTGAAGAAGAGTTTATAATATAAATGTAACCTTCAAAACCCCGAACACATTTGACGATTTTGGAGGCGCAGCCCTCACAGTGAATTTCAACCTTCAACACCACATTCGGTGGACTCTTTTCGTCCTTCTTTTTCTCAGCGTCTCCTCCCTCCTTCTTCTTAATCTCTCCTTCATTCTTGCTTTCATTGTTGTTGTTGTTGTTGTTCTCGTTGTTTTTGTTGTTCTTCTTCTGTAACAAAGAAAACCGAAGGAATAAGACCACCAAAATCAACCTATTTCTTATTAAAAATAAAAAATGAGCAGGGAAAAAAAAAAGTAGGGAGACCGAGTTGACTCACCTTTGCCATTGTTGTGGGAGTTGCCTATTGAGTCAGTTTCGGAGAGAAAAGCTGAAGGAGCGCTTATATATAGCAGGAGAGGAGAGATAAGAGTAGCACAGTCACAACTAACGATACAAGTTTGATGACGATGATGATGATGAGGTTTAATGTATGCATGTATGATGTTATGTTTATGTATGTATGGGTGTGGATTTCAAATTTGAAAAAAACAAAAAATAGTGGGGATGTGAATATGATGCGATGGGTTGATTGTTCACAGATAAAAACGGGGACGTGGGCGCGTGTTTAAACCGTTGAGTGGGCTTAACCTTATGACGGTGGGATAACTGTTCATTGTAACTCGGCGGCAGCTGCTTCCTGTCGGTTACTGTTATTCTTACAAACATTTTGGAATTTTGTCCCGTACTTTTGTTGTAAAAAATTATTATTAATTATTTAATTATCTTTTACCTAGATCTAATCTAATGGTTCATATAAATTTTGAGTAAAAAAAAGTTTACACATCATTCACACTGAGTTATTTCACTACTCTTACTAATTGAATAAACTAAGTTTCTATTCAATAATGAAAAAATTTTAACAGTAATACTAGGCTCACACCACCATCTCACATCACTCTCCCACATTATGATGTGGTAAATTGCTATCTCATCCACCACATCATCAAAAAGCCACACAATTTCCCCCTAGATTATAAAAAAAAAAAAACCTAAAATTTCAGTTCCCCCTAAATCTAATCTCTCTCCCAAAACAAAATCAACGTCAAACTCTCTTCTTCCCCTAAATTAGAAATCTCTCTCAAAGCCCAAAATTTCAATTTTTAATTTACCTAAAACAAACCCCAAATTGATCTCAGTTTCTCCAAAATACAAACACTAAAATCTCTCTCCAATTTTCCTTTAAAGATTAGTGAACCTGATTCTTTCTAAGCCCACCATGGTTTCCTCCAATTGCGTCCCCAACGAGCGTTGCACCTGTAAAGTGATTATTTCTCACTTGCTGGGTTCCAAAACGTTGCACCCGTAAGGTTCGACGTTGTTTATGTAATTTGTTACAATTGTTGTTTGTAGACTATATTTTTCTGGTTTTTATTTTTATATTGTCTAAATGTTGGGGTCTGGGATCATTAATGTTTGCCAGGGAAGGCATCGTTTAGTGGTGATGTCTAGATATACAGCTGTTTATGAAATTTCTATAACAAATTCATGTAGAGTCAGAATCATTGCAGCGTCTATCAGTAGATTATTGTGCATTGTTGCCTCCCCCAAGGTCAACTATTGCAGCAGCATTCAGCCCTGATGGGAAGGCGCTGGCTTCTACACAGTAGCTTAGGATGCGACATGATTTTTTCTTTCCTATCCACCTGTATTCGACATGTTCCAAGAAAATCTATTCATATGAAAGCTACAATGGATCACATTTTTGGTAGCTTGCAGTAAATTTATTGGTAATAATGAGCTACTTTCATTTATTCAATTCCTTGTGTGCATGGTAAGTAGATAAATTTTTTTAAGCTAAGAAGGTAGCTATATACTTTGGATATCCTTTCAATTTGTTCAAGTGACCCAAAATCTTCTCTTTCCTAGTGCTTATTAATAGGTTATGTTATCTTAACATGTTCTACATATATAACAACTCACCTAACCTTTTCATTTAAATTAGATTACTTGATTCATCTGTCACTATAGCACTATTACGAGCTGTATTTTGGCATCATATCTCATGAGACCTCAACCCTTATTCATCTCAATTTTTTAGTTTATTTCTTTAGCTCACCTTGTTGAAATTGATCCTTTGTACTAACCATTCATTATTATTAATTCTGAATGCCTAAACATTTTGGATGAAATGTACAGCTTTTCCTTGATTGGTACTTCACTTTACTTCTATCACACTCTCTATGTTCTTTCACTTTGCATATGAAGTATGGTTTAACAATATGCAGTTGGTATGGTTGGGGGTGGTTACTTGAAGCATGATTTTTTAATTGTTCTTTTACTTTAAGTGGTATTGTTTTTAGCTTTTCTTTTTGTTGTGGTTGGGTCCGGAAAGGGTACAAGTAGGTTTAGGGGTTGAGGTTTGCTATGAGTTAGGGTAATCCTTGTTGGGAGATTGGCTTTTTTTTCTGCTGCAGTAGGTGATGTGTCCCATGGCTGCTGGCAGCAGCTTGGTTTAGCCTGTTTCCCTTCACTTTTTGTGAGTTGCTGTTGAAGATTTTAACGGCCGGATTGGGTTTTTGCTTGCTGCAACTGCTTGTTTTGTTTGTCTGGTTTTTTTTTAAGATTGGGCTTCGTTGAAGTCTTGCATTGGTGGCTTAAAAAAGAAAATTAGTTTCATTAGTTTCTAGTTAATAAAGCCTAGTAGTTTAGTAAAGATACAAAAGTAATGCTATCTACAACCGTTCGTATATAGATTAAAATGCTACTTATTAATTGAGTTAACTTGTGTATTTCACTCTTCCATTATAGTTGTGTTACATCAATTTTTATACAATAGTTTGTATAAAAAAATTTTAAGTGTGGTATTATTCTAAATAAAACAAGGTTCTTGAGTTGTGTCCTGGTGTAACTTAATATTAATATCAGAGTCTTCTCTTCTTATGTTGTGTTTTTATAGGGGGATGTGGTTGATAACCTAACGGTTCAGATATTCAGGGACCCTCATCTTGAAATTGTCATTTTAACACTATGAGTTGGGGTAATCCTTGTTGGGAGGCTAGCTTTTTTTTCTGTTGTAGTGGGTGATGTGTCCCATGGCTGCTGGCAGCAGCTTGGTTTGGCCTGTTTCTCTTCACTTTTCATGAGCTACTGCTAAAGTTTTCAGTGGCTGGATTGAGTTTTTGCTTGCTGCAACTGATCGGAGGAGAGTACTGATACTGATCAAAACAACCACCTCATCACTTTATTTTCTTACTGCTGTAATGTATGTTGTGTACACATTTTTATAATGTATGTTGTCTGCAAGTTTTTATAATGCAACATTGAGGTTCTATTTCATTATTGGATGAATTTTTCTCTTGGATGTACTTTTTATTTTAAGTTTCATGACAAAAAAATCTAGCAAGTAATTGAAGTCTTATTAGGGTGGAAATAAGAGATTATGAATGCATCATTTAAAGTTTGTAACACTTGTTTTGAATCATCTCTAACTCTCCTATGAATGATCACTTACTATCTTGAGTTAAAAAATCTGCATAAATTTATGACAAGTTACTAAGTGCTTTTGTTTATTGCAAATCAAACCACAAAACATAATATAGTACCATCAACAAAGATACATTTTTTATTCTCTACTTAATACAAGAAAACAAAAGAAAGCTTTTACAATTTCTCAACCATCTTCCTATACTATGCGCACGACCCTAAACAAGCAAGGGACGCCGCCTAACAAAAGAAAGCAAAGGATCCAAAATGTACACCTTTTACACACCCCTTAAACAGCCAAAAGAAACCATCTAGGGATGGGAAACCAAAAAAGTCTTTACACAAGCAAGAGAACAGCAGTAGCCACAACACAAGACCCCAAAAAACACCTGGAGCAGGAGCATAAAATTGCCCATAAAATAGCAGCAAAAAATCAACTGGAGAAGTGAATCAGCCATAGCCCCACGCTACAAACCACAGCAGCAACATCCAAGCAACAACACAACAGCAAGAATGGACAGCCAACAACAAAAAAGCAGCAAGAACAACCCCCTACTGGTAAAAAAAAATTGCAACAGTAGGGGAGAAAATGAGTCTATAGCAACGCACAAAGACCCCAGCGCCAGCTGCCTCAATGCAGCCCTCACCTCCTCCCATAAAGCCAACCACCCCACTACCAAAAACACCCCCCAATCGCCAGTCCCTCTCACCAACCACACAAACCACACACAAATGTATTACAGCAAGCTTAAATTTAAATCCTCACTTTAATGTATAAGAAAACACAAAAAATGAGGCTTCCAAAAATAAGTGCTGAAAATATTTCTCCCAAATGATCATAAACAATTGTGGGATTGAATATGCCGAACCTGAAAATAAACACAATAAAAGTATAAACCAATAGCACTTGATGATATTCGCTGATTGATATTGAGTTGCTTTTAGAAACTCATGGTTCCAAGATGTATACTCAGACTCGTCGAGCTTTCTATAAGCAAGTGCCAATGTATGCAACCCATCTTCTCCATATTCATTCAAGTGCCTAGTAGTAACTTCCTCATACATTCTTCCATTCTTTGATAGCCGATAAAAAATAATGCTGCATATTCCAAGCAAAGAACTCATGCATGGTGGGATACGACAAGATGATTGTAAAAGTTCAAAAATTATAGCTAATATTGACCATTTGCCATTTATAAAACTCAAATGAAACCAGTAACAGCCCCCAAACAGTAGATGGAAGTCATATACACATTCAAGGCCTCTAGCAGGAGGCCAAATCTAAAAAGGTTATGAGGATAACTTGTCAGCGCCTTTGCAGAAGAGAATAATCTGCCCATCCTCATCCTGAACAATTACTCTCATCCGCTTTCTTTTGCTGGTGAAATCCAACAAATTGAGAATTTTGTACTCTTTGCAAGATTCCCAAAAGAAATTAAGATGCTACGACACTAAAAATTCAAGTGAAATAAAAAATTGGAAAAAAAGCTCCACATGGAAAATTATTCATTTATATCCTCACCTTTGAGTTGGCTGTCCTGAAGAATGATATATTTCACGGATAAACACACTGGATTGAGTTCTTTTACAAAACTCAAAACCAAACTCCCTAGCAGCAATAAGAAAAGCCCCTTCGTTGGGTGACTCTGCTTCGTATGTGACATCGCCAGTCTCTTCATTATCAGCGAACAACAATATATTAAGGCATTCTGGATTAGAAGATATCAAGTAACAGAAACCTTGTAAACAGGCCGGTTCCCAGCAGGAGATATTGGGCCCTCAACCCTTTTTCCAGGCAGAAGAAGCTGAAGGGCAGCCTCAAATGCTGCATAACAAGCAATTATTTTCCAAGCCATAATAGTGGGTCTTGGCCATATATCTACAAATCCTTGCAGCCCACGATGGTGGAAGACGAGGAGTAACGAACTATTGCTGTCTTCTTGCCGTAACAGTTGGTCTTCTTGTTGTTGGATGTTATTGGATCGCTCAGAGGTCCATTGTATC